AATCAGGATGTTCCATGTAGAACAAAGAGTCCAAACAACCAATCAGGATGTTCCATGTAGAACAAAGAGTCCAAACAACCAATCAGGATGTTCCATGTAGAACAAAGAGTCCAAACAACCAATCAGGATGTTCCAATTAGAACAAAGAGTCCAAACAACCAATCAGGATGTTCCATGTAGAACAAACAGTCCAAACAACCAATCGGGATGTTCCAATTAGAACAAACAGTCCAAACAAACAATCAGGATGTTCCATGTAGAACAAACAGTCCAAACAACCAATCAGGATGTTCCAATTAGAACAAACAGTCCAAACAACCAATCAGGATGTTCCAATTAGAACAAACAGTCCAAACAACCAAACAGGATGTTCCAATTAGAACAAACAGTCCAGACAACCAATCAGGATGTTCCATTTAGAACAAACAGTCCAAACAACCAATCAGGGGCTGTGTCCAAAACGGCAGACCGAGTCCTCCGAAGGTCGAATTTGTCGGCCGCATACGTCACAGCGCCACGACGGAGGCCGTCCAAAACCGAAGACTCCTCCGATGCGGCCAACAAATGCGTCCTTCCTTTGGCCTGAATTGAAGAACCGATCCGCTGGTTCCTTCCCGGCCCAGCATATCCCATAATGCATTGCGGCCCGACCTGAGATTTTTTATGGTAGTAATGGCAGACGAAGCGAGAGAAAAGAATACGTTTTTAATAAAAATATGGCGGTATAAAAACCAAAATTTTCTAGCGGTTGTAATTCTAATATATTTATCATTTATATAGATGTGTTTTTAAATATTTTTGTCATAAAAACGTGAAATAAACATGCACCTACAGCGGATCAATTAGTTCTTCAAACGTTATCTTTAAGTTAATTTTATTGTTTTGTGATATTAATAACACTAATATATTGATATTTTTCTCATACTGATCTATTTTTGCTTCTGTTTAGCGTCGTCATGGTTGGTAGGTAAAATGACGTACGCCGGGGTGGAGGGGAGGCTAGACCGTCCAAATTCACAACCTCTTTTTTTCCGGTCTTCTCGGTCTACCAAGGACCCGGCCCACCTCGACCGGGGAGTCTGGGTCCTCCGGAGGACCCGGCCTGTCGTTTTGGACACAGCCAGGATGTTCCATTTACAACAAACAGTCCAAATGACCAATCAGGATGTTCCATTTAGAACAAACAGTCCAAATGACCAATCAGGATGTTCCATTTAGAACAAACAGTCCAAATGACCAATCAGGATGTTCCATTTAGAACAAACAGTCCAAACGACCAATCAGAGAAGGACTTTATTTTAGAGGAAGCCTACTGTCTTTTTTTCGTTTAATTTGGAATAACTTCACATAGACATAGAGATGTTTGAGTTATCATTTGGACAAAAATGTATAACTTCAGGTTATTTTGTTTGTTTGTCTCGTTCTCTCTGCGTCTGTTTGGAAGCCCCTGAACAGAAAGAGGTAGATCGTGTGGTTTTAGATCCGATGAAAGGGTTTGATTTCTTCCAAACAAATGGTATTTTTGGAGGGAGTGTTGAGGAGCGAGCTGTGGTTGAGTTAAAGATAAGTCGTCTAAAACCAAACTACGGTATGTACAGTGCAAACAGGAGCATCATCACTGCTGATCAAAGTGTAAACAACACAACATTTTACAAAGCTCACGAACACAAGATACTTACCTACAAACTGGAGCTACACGACCTACAGCTGCAGGTGTCATCAGTAAAAAGTAGAAACGATTAGAAAACTTTCTCTTTGAGAAGCACAAGCTTCTCCTCTCTGTGCTCAAAGCAACAAGAACGTCTGAAGCGTCCAAATGAGTGAAGATGCTCCCTCRTCATCCTCCAGGCCAACGAGCGCCGCGTTACCAAAATCTGGTGAGATACAACCAGTCAGCTCCGTTCTGAGGYGGAGTTCAACCTTCAGCAGTAGAGGAAGGATAATGTTTGTCCCAGATCCAGACTTAAAGGAAAAGTTCAGCATTTTTACCAAAGCCACAAATTATCAGTCTCATTTTTGTGATTTCAGATCGGAGCCTAAAAATCCACAAACAGGAAATAATCAAGATGTAAACCTGACAGTCATAGACCTGGTCTGAAACTGTTCTGTGAAGCTGAGCATTGTTTTCTTTAGAGACGTAGTTGAATTACTTGTCTTTAAAAAACGAGCAACATGACCCAAGATGACAAAAATAAATAGCTCATCTACAGAACAGAGCGATTTATCTGGAAAAACCATGACTGTAACCGAAGATAATGAGATAAATAACTTATCTCTCAAGAGAGCAACATAAAAAACTCAGTGAATCAAGAAAACAAGCATCGTAACCCAAATTGTTTAAAGAGAACATAAATGACTCAACTTGAGAAAACAGGCACTGTAACAAACAAAATGTTATCTCAAGAGAACACTATAAAACATGGCTATTCAACTGGTTGCCCGTGGGCCACATCCGGCCTGCAAGTGACRAAAGTTCGGCCCGCCAATTGGTTCATTCCTCTTTTAAGCCCAAACCCCTTTTTTAAACTTTAATTACTATAAGTTATTTTAGTGAGACATAAGCTGCATTTCCATTGACCATAAAAATGCGCAAATTAGATTTGCAAAAATAAATTTGCTTAACGGAAACACGTAAATTAAAAAAAAAACTTTTTTGGACAAAATGGTTTTGTGCTAGGATGAGGTGGTTTTTCGGCTGTATCGGTGTATTTCACAAAACTGCAATGGAAACACTTCACATCACAGGAGTCACGTGATCAACTACCAGATGTTTCTACTGGTGAAAAAAGAGGACCAAGAAGAAGACAACAGGAAATAGATGTAGTAGTATTATCACCAAAGAAGTAAAAGAAAGTAGTAAAATTTCCGAATACAATTTCCCAGAAACGCAGCAAATATAGCCGCTCCCAAGTTTAAGGGGCTTTTGTCACTCGAAAGCCTCGATAAAAGACGCCGCCGTCTCCTCTGATGATGAGCGCTAGTGTCGTGGTCGTGTCATGCGTTTATATCCATCGCCGCCATGTTTGTAATGACTTATCGCGAGAACAAACGTATTCACGCGTGACTTTAATGGCATTTCTTACTTAATGGAAACATCACAATTGTAAAACTGTGTTTTTCGACATTAACAGAATATCGACAAAGTTTTGCACACATTTGCAATGGAAACGCAGCTACAGACGTGTGGTGTCAACAGAAACATCAGAATCTTAGCTAAAAARAAAATCCATTTCAATGAACATCGGTTAAAACTACAAGCAGTTGAAGACAAAACTATAAAAGTGAAAATAAAATTGTTTTAAAATTTTGGCAGGTCAGAGGTCAAGAAATTTATGTTAAATATAATATAATGTGTTCTTTTTGTTTTTGATGTTTTATTATCACTACTTTTATTACACGGGGTTCTGTATGTTGTAYTCATGATTAAATGCAGTAAAATAAACTAATTTAAAGGTAACAGATCTTTTTAATACTTGGTTTATTTACATAATGACTAATTGTTGGATGTTCGGCCCCTCAGCCTTTAACCTGCAGTAACTGTGGCCCCCGGAGCAGTTTAGTTGAATAGCCCTGAAATAAAAGSTTTTTGTCTTGTAAAAACAAAGTTGTGACCCAATATAAATAAAGATAACTGTGATAATTTGGGATAACATTTGTCTTTTAAATTAACTAAGAATCTGCAGCTTTAAATACATTATTTTACCTCCTGTTTGTTGCATATGTAGCGCATCTCCTCAGAGATGACCTGAATCGACCGAGCAGCCACGTGAGTTCATTAAACCAGGTAACCTAAAGAAATCCTGGTGTGTTTAACCTGCTTCATGTTTTTAGATCAAACTCTTTTCTGGAACACAAACACGAGAGTGATTCGGTATTCAGGAAAATGTCGAACAGTTCCTTTTAACCTACAGCTCAAATGGGACGTGTCCCGCCATCTCCGCTAAAATGTCCAGTTAGCAACCGAAACGAGGCATCGCGCTCGGAGACAAAACGTCTCTGTYACGTATCTGGACCCTTACAGTAAAAATATACAACAGTACGATTTTACAATCAGAAAGCATCTGGAAGAGCTTGCAAGGTGGAAARAAGTTCCAGACAAAAAGAAAAATCCCTGGGCTTTACCGGGAAGAGACAGAAATAAAATGGCCGAATAAATCTAAAGGCCTTCTGTTTAAATCATTTTCTGTACTTAATATTTATAGTATTTTTACAGTAAAATATACTTTTYTACCCTTTTATTACCTGTGCACATTGATTTCTGTATGATAAATGGGGTAGAAGTTAAGTTAGAAATAACTTAAACTTCACTTTTCTGCTTGTTTCCAACTTTACATTCATTCTGAAAATCCACTAATGTAGATTTTCTTGATTTAAAATCTTTTATTGGTAAAATAGTGCAATCAGTGCTGCTACTGTGTCCTTAAACATTTGAAATAAGCTTCTTCAAACAGCCCTCAGTGTTTACCTTTTAGCCTCACAGCTCAGCTACAGAACTCAGGTGCGTTAAACTGACGCCAGGAAATACTCAAACTTTTGTTTCTGGGATAATTTGGTCCCAGGAAGTCGACTGAAACGTTGATGGAAGCTGAATTGTGAGATTTTTTTTGTGTGTGATGAACTCAAAGCAGCGCTGTCAGGTGATCACTGACAGGGGGCAGTTTTACTGCTAGGCTCCGCCCCCGGTGCGAAGCCGTTGCTGAGGCTACTGGGACTCGGAGGCGAACCCAGAGGGGGTGTGGCCTCAGCTCTGAGGGCGGGCTCTATGACAGAGCAGCTTTTTTGCGGCAGCCGYGGATGGACCAGCATTGATTTGGGGATGACTGACGCCTGTCGGAGCCCGTCGGCACGCAGTGGTGGTCTGACGAGGGCGGAGCCTGTGGGCGAGGCCTCAGAGACGGGACTATTGGGGCTGCGTGGCGGCGAGGGGCTGAGGGCACTTTGGTCAGCGAGCTTGGGTTCGGCTTGCTCTGGAACCTCCTGGTCCGGGGGTGTGGCCTCCTTCTCGTCAGGGGTGGGACTTGTGGACTCAGGTGGCAGGTCCTGCTGCATACTGCTCTGCCTGGAAGTTCCCGAAGCTGGAATCTCGCAGCTGTCGGTGCGACGCCTCGAACCCTCGTGCATTCGACTGGTGGCGACAACGGCCTTCATGGCAGCCTGTCGACACAAACACGCAGTTAGCACGCAATGCTACATAATAACTACTGAATAGTTTGCACCTCAGTTCTGACGTCATGGTTTGGTCCAAGCTTCGTTTTGTATTTATCTGACACTAAAGGCAGTTTTATACGTTTTTTAATGACTCATTAAGCTTTCTGAACATTCCGCTGCCACGGATAGCCAGCAGTGGTGGGCACAGCTAAACGAAAAGTTAGCTTCACTAATCTGCTAAACAAGTATCTTAGCTCTGCTAARGCTAAACCACTGAAATATGGGAATAAGTTTGTGGAACAGTCTCCCTACCGTTATAAAAACCTCTAAAACAATTTTTATGTTTAAAAAGATGATTAAGTCAAAATTATTGGGAAAATAAACCATTTGTAGTATTTAATYGAAATATATMGGCGGCTGTAYTAGAGTGGTTAGGGGAGTCGTCCTGGAACTGGAAGGTCACCGGTTTGATCCCCCGTCCAGCCGTTTCAGTCGTTCTGTCCTTGAGCAAGACACTTCACCTGCCTTGCCTACTGATGGTGGTCAGAGGGTCCGGTGGCGCCTGTGCATGGCAGCCCCACCTCTGTCAGTGTGCCCCAGGGCAGCTGTGGCTACAGTGTAGCTTACCATCATCAGTGTGTGAATGTGTGTATGAAGTGTAAAGCGCCTTGGGGTCCAAATGGACTTGATAAGGCGCTATATAAGTTCAAACCATTTACCATTTACCATTTTATACGTTATTTAAATATTGTTAAATGTTATTTTTGCCGCTCTCAGTTTTAAGTTTAGCTGCTAAAGATGCTACATGCTACACGCACAGTACCTGACATGACCACCACTGCTTGTAAGGGGATATCAAAAAGAAAAAATATAAATAGGTCCTCTGGATGGTTCTTCTTTAGTGAAACATTTCATCTCTCCTCCAAGAGACTTCTTC